GAATAGTTAATTTGAAGACCAAGAAAAAAAATTGTTTTCCCAAGATCCTTCATCTCAAATTCTTTCATGAGATATTTTGCAGTGTTTTGTATTTCATCAAGAGTTCCAATGATATTTAAATCATCAACATATACTGCAATTATGACAAAGTCTGATCTGGATCGTCGGATGGAAACACATGGACTTATTAGATCATTTTTGTACCATTTTCCGAGCAGATATTCACTGAGACGATTATACCACATTCTTCCAGATTGTTTTAGTCCATATAGTGACTTTTCCAATTTTATGAAAAACATATCTTGAGGTTTTAAACTGTAAACCTCATGAAATTTTAGACCTCTATGAACTTTCATATAAATGTCAATATCGAGGAGTAAATTTCAAGAATATTACCTCAATTTTCAAGAAAATTTTGATTCAATACCTGATCTTCAAAACCTTTCGCAAAAGTATTTGACCTTTTACAATCTTTTCACTTAAAGTCCATTAGCCCATTACCAGGTGACTAGCAGGTCACTTTGGGCCAAATTGCAAAATCCGAATTTCTATTTTTTCACATTGACCCCCATTTCTTCCTTCTCTTCTCCTTATACTCCCATAAATTATATTCTTTTCTTTTTCAACACACTCCCCTTTAATTTTTTTTCTCTCCATTCTTTTTCCCATCTTTTCTTTTATTTTGTGTTTTTTCTTTCTTTTTTTCTTATTCGCTATTCTTTCAATCTTTTTTTCCTTTCTTTTCCTTTTGATCATTTTTTAACTCTTTATTTATTTTTTTGTTCATTTTCACTTTTTATCATTTCTTTCCTTTTTGCTTTAATTTTCTCCATCTTGTCCTCTTTTTTTATTTTTTCCTTTTTAAAATTCTTTTCACTATTTTAATTTTCTGTATTTGTTTCCGTTTGCTATGTTTTTCTTTAGTTCCTTTTCGAAATCTTCCTTTTATGCCTTTTCTCAGTTCTTACCTTTTTTACCCCAATATCGAGAGATCAATACAAATATGCAATCACTACATCCATTAAACGCATTTGGAGATTTTGAAAAACAGACATGCCTATCAAAAATCTCAATTTAGTTGCAACAACTATTTGGGAATAACTTTATTTATAATTTATCCCCGAGATTTGAGAAAAACCTTGGGCTACATGTTGGACTTTATAAGTATTACGTTATATTAAAATAAACACTTATGTTTTGTATTAGAATGAGTACTAATTTACTTTAAAATGAATACCATTTTGCTTTAAAATGAGTACTACCTGTGTAGGGTTCTACGCTTGGATAGGGCAGCGGAAAAACAAAAATTTTGGTGTCCAAACGTAGATCCACCCAAGACCTCTTATGATTATTATAAGTTGTTGTTAAAGAATATACCTTTGTTGGAGAGAAAGCAATGATATGTGTAGGTTGATCACATCTTCACAGTCTATGCTCTCTAAGATTTCATTCTCGATAGCTATTACCGCCAATTCACTAAGTCTTTCTCGATAGCTATTTGTAAATGCTCTTGCTCTTCCATCTCTTTTACTTCTACTTCTTCGTCTTCAGCAACAGGTTTCATAAACTTATATAGAGCTCCGGCTTGAGACTTTCTCATTTCTTCATCTCGTTTTCTCTTTTTTCTTTTTTGACTACCGTACCGGATAATTGTTTAGGAGCCATAGCTATTGAATTATTTCTGAAATAAAATCTAAAATCATAAATTATACTCCCTCCGTCCCGATATATTCGTCCACTTTTGACTTTTGGAACTGTTCATCTAAGCACTTTGACTCATCAAATTCTTTCAATGTGTAAGCCTAAATATAGTCATGCGTGATCTTGTTTGATTTGTCTTAACATATAGATTATTAATATATAATTTCTATAATTTGTTAATAAACAAATTACAAGATAAAATGGATTAAAGAAGTGCATTGGATGGTGTGCAAAAATGAAAGTGGACAAATATAGTGACGAAGGAAGTACTAAGTAAAATCAAGAATAAAAAACTGAAAAAAGCAAGCAAATAAAGAAATAAATATATCATAAATTAATATCAATTCGTCAATTTTTCTTTTTTTAATTTTTTTTCTTTTTTCAGTTTTAATTTTTTTATAAATCATAAATTCATATCAATTCATCAATTTATCACTTTTTAATTTTTTCGGTTTTCAGTTTTTTTTAATATAATTATATAATTATCAGAAATAACAAATTCAAACCAATTCATCCAAATCAAATAAATAATATATAGAATCATTCATTCATTATATTTCAATGAATGAAATTAGAAAATATTTCAATTTAAAAACTAATAATTAACCCTAGATTTTAAATCCAAAAAATGAAACAATGAAAGAAAATTAAGATTTAAGAAATAAAAATTGCAAAATTGGAAAGGGAAGGCTATGAATAATTACCTGGAGGGTGGAGGCGTACCGGTCGGCGACTCGGCTCGACGTCCGGTCCTTTCTTGATGTTTCTGGTTTCTTTGATCGGCACTGGGTGGACTGGGCCTGGGCTTATATACATATATATATAATACTTAAAAAAAAATTTTACACCCCTAAAATTTTTGGGCCCGGCCCGGACGGACACCTTGTCCCCCTATTGGGCCGGCCCTGATAAGGAGCATAATCCCCATTCTCATTCCCAATGGGAATGTTCCTTTTAATGTTTAGGAAATAAATCAAATCCCATTCATATTCCACTTTGGCAATTTTGAATCACCACTTTAAGGAAGCTTCCAATTTATTTTGTCAACTTTAATTATCATATAATTAACACAAAATAAATAATATAACATTTATAATATGTATATCTAAAATATACATAAACATATATATAACATCTATGTTACTAGAGTGCCTACTCTATCTTTGTAATAACCTCATAATCCGAACGTCGTAGTTCTCATCTATGTTACTAGAGTGCCTACTCTATGGACTAAAGCTATGTTTGAATCACACGAGACGACTTAAACAATCTTTAGGGATTATTGTTCTTGATATAATATAGGTATGGAATCATAAGTTGACCTCTAGGGCTCACTTATATTCTACAACGAGATATATATTTCTAATGCTGGGAGTAACGCTATCCTTTTGGGAGAAGCTACCAAAACCAAACTATCTTCCTTTTGCTACTTCTAAAGTTGCAAATTTATCTCACTATTATGCGTACGACACCATGTCAATACTTATTAATATATGTTTTCCTAATTTCAACCTACCTTATGGTTGTTCTAAACGAGCTATTTTGTGTGTAACATTTACACCTAAGCCTGTTTAGAAAACCACTCTTTTGTCTCTTCTTAAGAATCAAAAGTTAACTTTTAAAAACTTAATTACTACTCTTAGCTCAACTTGGACATATATATAATATATATTCCTTTAGAATGAATCAAGTTCTTATAACGCGTCTCATGGTACTCTATGGAACGATTTCCATGCGGTCCTTTTACAAAGTGAATCTCTAAAAAGGGTTAACCTTGAGATTTATGCAAGTTTCAAAAATCTTCCATGTGTGTATTGGACTTAGAGTATTCTTAGTCTTTTGATCCATCTATATGGATTCTTTAGACTTGAGCACATAACGACTATTTGCATTCATGACTGATTATTTTGTCAATGATATACTACATACTTATCGTGCTCCCACTAGTCTTCAATAAGACTTTTTATTCTAGAAATATAAGTACTATAACTAGTTATAGATAATTTGAAACCCTTCTTTTATCCTTGATAGACTCATCCAAAACAAGTATTAAAGTGTTTTATTCCATGTGAGACATATTTTTATTACTTGTTATTAAGGAAGGAATCGTTTTGGAACAGATTCCAAGTATTCTTTCCTTTCAGAGTCTATAATGGTTATTTTGGTGCTTAAGGTGCAGTAGTATTTGGCAAGGTTACATAATCCTCTTTATTAGACTAACTATCTTAGTCACATTAACTAATCAATATTCGTACTTTTATAGCCTTGGTATAGTTGTTGTATTGCGATATGCTTGTGGGGCAAAATATTTGATCATATGAACTACTTCTATAAATGGAGCAACAATTTGTCCTTTATTGAAATAGCCAATAGTACTTAAAACAATAAGTAAACACCAATTCGAAATTGATAACTGATCAAACACTAAAACTTAAACTAATACGCCACTAAGCTTCAAGATCAACACTCCTACTTCTTCTCTTCAGTTCCTGCAATGATTTGCAATATTATAAGTATCGAATACTTTTGAAGAGATTGTAGATTAGTTTTAAGTCATTACAACAATAGTACCTGAAGCAGAAGCTTCACCCTTTTTCTTGGTTACCAAATACTTCTTGCAATTCCTCTCCTAGTGGCCAACTTCACCATAGTGATGACAAATGAAATCTTTAGCTACTCCACCTTTAGGCTTGAGCTTAGAAGAATCAGAATTAGGCTTGGTGTTACCCTGCCTTTAGGTCCATTCTTCTTTGCCTTCTTGAACTTCTTCTTGCCTTTTCCTCCTTGAACTAAAAAGACATAATTCCCCTTTCCTTTCGTCAAGCACTCTTCGGCAGTTTCCAGCATCTTCAAAAGTTCTGGCAGTTGTTTATCGAGTTCATGCATCTCATAATTAACCACAAATAATATATATATATATATATATATATATATATATATATATATATATTTGTATATATATATATATTTGTTTTTTTTTTAATTTTTTTTTAATTTATATAATGAACGGTCGGTTACAAGCAAGGGGCCCGAGGCCCGTTAACCTCGTGACTACCCCGGGGCCCGTTAACACCCGAGATAGATAGCCCACTATAGAAAGCCCAAAGTAAGCCCAATCTAAAGCCCAGCCCATAAGCCCAAATCTACTTCCCAGGGGGTCACCCATCATTTCTGCTACACCCATGCCAGCACGCTTAACTCTTTAAAATTCCTCCAAATTTGCATCTTCTAGGGATCGAACCCGGGTGGTGTGGTTCGCCAATCAACCCTGTGACCATCTCTACAGGGGGGAACCACACACACACACACACACACACATATATATATATATATATATATATTTATATATATATATATATATATATTTATATTTGTATTTATTTATTTATTTATGAAGTATATATTAAAGTGGGCCATGCACTTCCCAAGTATAAAAAAAGGTTGTTAAGGAGGGGAGAAGAGCTACGAAGGTGTCTGTACAAATAAGAAGTAGGTATTAAGGAGGGGAGAAGAGCTAGGAAGGTGTCTGTATATGGTACAACCGATTGTACAAGAAGTAAGATACAACTAGGTTGTTGAATATAAGTGAGCCCTAGAGGCCAACTTATGATTCCATATCTATATTATATCAAGAACAATAGACCCTAAAGATTGTTTAAGTCATCTCGCGTGATTCAAACATAGCTTTAGTCCATAGAGTAGGCACTCTGGTAACATAGATGAGAACTACGACGTTCTGATTATGAGGCTGTTACAAAGATAGAGGCTACGTCTAAAATATACTTAGTCGAATATTATGACAATGCGGACATCATAATATATATCAAGACTAATACGTATGAGATGAGATAGCTGCGTCTCATAGGCTATAGATAAAGTGTTATCTGAATCTATACGTAGGCAAACATATCAGATATATTGCTGGATTGACCCGCTATGAGAATAATAAATGGGTTTAAGTTAAAGTGTTAATATTATTCTCATGCGACCATTAGTATAACTATCCTTCGACTTGAAGTCAATACGTTCTTTGGTAAGTTGAGTTGCATACTTTGAAGCATGATTTATGCCATCTGAAATATTGGTGGATGTACAATTATGTTTTGGGTATGCAATGAAGCTTAAGCAAAGATGTGAATGACGTACATAGAATTTATCCCTTCTTTAATGAAGTATAATATCATAGGGCCCACTAATTGATGTGACTTGGGAAGTGCATGGCCCACTTTAAATTTATATATATACTTGGGAAGTGCATAAGCTATCTAAATATATACTTGGGAAGTGCATGGCCCACTTTAATTTATACCTAGAATATATATATATATATATATATATATATATATATATATATATATATATATATATATATATATATATATATATATATATATATATATTGGGAAGTGCATAAGCTATCTAAATATATACTTGGGCCATGCATTTCCCAAGTCACATTAATCAGTGGGCCCTAAGATATTATACTTCATTAAAGAAGGGATAAATTCTATGTACGTCATTCACATCTTTGCTTAAGCTTTATTGCATACCCAAAACATAATTGTACATCCACTAATATTTCAGATGGCATAAATCATGCTTCAAAGTATGCAACTCAACTTACCAAAGAACGTATTGACTTCAAGTCGAAGGATAGTTATACTAATGGTCGCATGAGAATAATATTAACACTAGTACTTTAACTTAAACCCATTTATTATTCTCATAGCGGGTAAATCCAGCAATATATCTGATATGTTTGCCTACGTATAGATTCAGATAACACTTTATCTATAGCCTATGAGACGCAGCTATCTCATCTCATACGTATTAGTCTTGATATATATTATGATGTCCGCATTGTCATAATATTCGACTAAGGATATTTTAGACGTAGCCTCTATCTTTGTAACAGCCTCATAATCAGAACGTCGTAGTTCTCATCTATGTTACCAGAGTGCCTACTCTATGGACTAAAGCTATGTTTGAATCACTCGAGATGACTTAAACAATCTTTAGGGCATATTGTTCTTGATATAATATAGATATGGAATCATAAGTTGGCCTCTAGAGCTCACTTATATTCAACAACCTAGTTGTACCTTACTTCTTGTACAATCGGTTGTACCATATACAGACACCTCGTAGCTCTTCTCCCCTCCTTAATATCTACTTCTTATTTTATGTCCCTCTAAAATATTTATTAATTAAAGAAAAAATTCACATGAAACTCAAAAAATAGAAGATTTTATGTTAATAATTCGAAATTCAATAATTAACAACACTGTTTTTAAAAAATCACACATTTTATACAATTACTCCAAGCTGCCAACTGGACTACATATATGTCATTTTAATTGTTGACTATGCGCAATTATTAAGTATGAGTCATAACGAATAAAAAATAAAGAAAAATCTTAAATACGTTATAACTCAAACTCTCCCCTGTTTCAAAATTGAAAAATTAAAACCTAGTAAAATTGAAAAACCTAGTACGTTTATATTTAATCAGATGAATTGTGAACAGTACTTCAAATAAAAAATAGTATAACTTTTTAAATTTAAACATCCCGTCAGAGCGGGAAAAGCTGCAGGGAGCAGTGTATCGAGGCACTTAGGAAGAAGAATGAGGAGGAGAAGGGCCGCTCTAGAGCCTGTTCTCCCTCTGACATTGTATGGAGGGGTTTTTCGCCCCACCCATGTCCTAGTCCTCCCATGCCTTCAGGCACGAATCCGATTGCGCAGCTGTTGGGACATGGGGATATAGCTACTGCGGAGCTTGAGGTGAACCCGTGTGGCTCCCTCAATATCTTCCCACTTCTGCAGCAAGTTGTGTCTCCTCCGCCTTGATCGATAGCATCCTTTGGTATTGGGAAAACTCCTAAAATGTCATGGAGCCCCAATCAATCTCCCCCGAAGGGAGCCTTGGTGGGCTAGGGGGCAGAGTAGTCAAGGAACGTTGGGGGTGAGGATAGTGTTTGGCGAACTCTGAAGGACTCAACCCCACTCTATCGTTGGAAGTGATATAGGGAGTGGGAGAAGAAGGCTTAGAAAAAAAGGAAGAATTAGAGATGGTGAGATCAATGAAAACTTGTTTTTTCGCGCCTTCAATCATGATGGAAGACTGGATAGTAATGTAAAAAGGATGGTGAAACTCTAAGGCATAAGATCCCTTTAAATATATGGGGATTCAATGATGGGAATGCACAGAGGAAGCGGAAAGTCATGATAGAAGCGGTGATTAGCGTGTGGAAGTGCTTGACAAGTCCCAAGATTGACTAGAGTTTTTTCTCACCAAGGTGGGATAAAAATCAATTGGGCCCAAAGAATGCATGTGGGCCGATTCATGTATGGGAGCAGAAGCAAATTAATACGGAGTATATGAGTATGTGCTAAAAAAAATTAGCAAGGCTAAGATCACATATTCAATATAGAGTAAGCTAGAAGTAGGGGTGTGCATTAACAGGTCCAGACCGGAATTTAGACCTGAACCGGACCGGAATGGACCGGTCCGGACCGGTCCAGAATTTTCAGGTCCGGTCTTCGGTCCTCCAAAATTTAGGATTCCGGGTTTCCGGTCCGGTCCGGTCTAAACCCAGAATTATCCGGTCCGGACCGGTATATAATAAAATATTAATTTTTTTTAAATAAATAGTTAATTCATTAGACCATTATCCTTTCAAATTTCTTCTTTTTTCAATTTTATTAGGCTCCTAGCATGATATGTTACTTAATTTCAATTTTTACTTTAAGTATTTTTTATTTAATTTTTTTCTTTGAAGTTTGAACTTTGGTTTGGGATTTTTTTCATAGATTTTGTTGTGTTATGAACTTATGAATTTAACAATTGCCCTCCCAAGTGAATTGTTATTGTTATAAATTTGGGGATTGATGGTATTACATATATATTTACATATACAATTTAGATATGATTTTTTTATAATGAAAAATAGGTCATTTATGTTTAAATTCCGGTCCATAATAGGGTAAACCTGGACCGGACCGGAAAATTCAAGTCCGGACCGGTATCTAACAGGTCCGGTCTTCGGTCCTTGCAAATAGAGGATTCTGGTTCCGGTCCATTCCGGTTCCGGTCCGGTCCGATCCGGTTTTGGACCGGTGCACACCTAGCTATAATTCAATATTACATTTAAAGTTACAATTCCCGGAGACCCGGGGCAAAAAAGAGTACATGGAAGAGGGAAAATAAAGTAAAGGGGTCTGGAGGCAGAAGTCTGGAAGGGAGCCCGCAGAAGCACTCCATAGTGGTTTGCGAAGCCAGGTCTCCTTCAATTTTCCCATAGATGCAAACTTGCACGCCATAGAGGCCTTCCTAATAGTAGGTGCTAGCTCGGTCAGTTAATTTTGCAATCTAAGACCGCCGTTCGGCCACCTCTTTTTCCATTGTGTTAACCTTCTCCCGGAGTTATGACCTTATCCGTCAACTTCCTGGCTCCGGCATGGGCCTCCTTAATGGAGGCCAGGCCACTTTTGATAGAACCCCAAGTTCCGTTTCAATTGAGCCTGGGTTTCAGGATTGAACTTGTGCTTCGTCACTGGACGAGGTTTACACGCGAGGATGAGGCTGGCCCTTGGTGTCATGGAATTATGATAAGGCTGCAGAAACCCTGGCCCCTAAAGTGTGAGAGCATGTTCCAGGGAGAAACTAGTCACAGACCCCATCTCCTGCAGGGAAGGGATGCCTAAGGAGCTCGGGAAAAGTTCAGGGGGGCTCTCAATGGTCAGCCCACCTTGTAGTGACTGGTTAGAGCAAGATATGTCAACAACAGGGGAAGGGCTCGATGCAGAACCAGCTGGATTCTTGGACTGGGCATCATCTAGAGGAATACGACAAGAGGAATTCATCTCTTCCGATATGATCACCTGGCCCCTCCCCTTATGGGAGGAGTGTTTTGATTCGTCATCCAAAACAGACAAAGTAGTTGCAGGAGAGGAATGGGATCCCAGAGCAGGCTCATCTTTGGATCCCTTTTCCCTTTTCGGCTGCAAAAGGATGACAGGGTCGAACTACTTGCGCTTCAGGGTGCTGGTAGGCTTCTTAAATGCCAGACTAGTAGGCCTGAGATCGGCAGCCTGCGAAGAGACTTCACCCTCTTCTTGGAAAAGTATAGGAGCTCCTGGAGTGCCGGGGACTTTTGGGGTGACAGCATCTGAAGTTCTCTCAACATCTTCAGGATCCAAGGGGTCTTTCTCTAACCGCCTCTCTTTGGGGGGGGGGGGGGGGGG